CAATGATGGTGCCAACTTGGGCCAGTGAAGCAACGTCCTCCACAACTAGACTGAAGAACAAAAGGACAGCAACTTGTCTGTTCCCCTTCCCCGAATTCCCCAGCGCCGTTCCCATCCCCCAATTCCCCAATAAAAATCTTTAAAACAAGCAAACAAAAAAAGAGTTGGCATGCCAGCTCTGAGCAGCAGGGCCCTAGTTCGGATCCCACATGTGGGCCAGTGACACTGTGCCCTCTACAGCTGAGATGGTGAACAACAGCTCAACCTGGAGCTGGGCAGCCGTGCGTCGGCATAGGCTGCAGTGAGGCTGGCCTGCAGCTGGCATGTGCTTTTGTGAGCTGCTGTGAGCTGCCGTGACTGGCTGTTTTTTTCTTAAAGATTTTATTGGGGAATTGGGGGAGGGGAACTGCAACCTATGCCATAGCCGGCAACTCATGGCAGCAGCCCAGCTCCAGGTGGAGCTGTTGTTCACTATCTTAGCTGTAGAGGGCGCAGTGTCACTGGCCCTCATGTGGGATCCGAACCGGGGTCCTGCTGCTCAGAGCTGGCGTTCCAAGCCAACTCTTAACCAATGCGCCACTCGGCTGGCCCCAGAAATTCTGACAGTAATTCAGGAGGAACAATACGATATGCTCATAATACTAAAACAGTGGTTTTTTTTAAGCTGAGTAGTTGCTCCATGTGCTATTTAGATAACAACTATTTATTGGACATGGCATAGGTACCAAAAGACACACTTCCATCTCACTGGGTTATAAATTTGTTGGGGAGATAAGATACATATATATAACATTTGCAATAATTACGAAAAGCAATGTGAGGGCAAGAGAAAGATCAAATGTGTACTGGGTCTATTAGATCTGTGACCTCAGACAAATAACCTACTTCCCAGTTTCCTTGTTTGTGAAATGGGAATAATACAACATAACTTTGCAGGGGTGACTGAAGAATTTTTAAAGATTTACTGCATATAATGCACCCAGGACAATGCCTGGAACAGAGTGGATACCAAGTAAATGGTAGCAGCTATTGCTAGTTAATGCAAAGAAAGCATAGAGGTAATATTACTTAAACACAGTAGAACCTATTCCGGTGGTGTTGCCATTTCTTCATACATGCTTTTGATATTACCTTCTACTTGGTGGCAAATTTTTGTCTTTTTAAGGGTGTATTTGATTTTTGAAAATGGCCAAAAAGCGGAGTCAGACGTAGGTATGAATATTTTTGTTACTGTTGGTGTGACCTCAGAAATGAGATGTGACCATCACATTTATGGATCTGTCTGATAAACGGGGTTTGGAGGCAATTCCAAAAGAGGTGTTCCCAATTTTTTTGAGCAATGAGACTATTTACTGAAAATATGTAACTTTTACAGATGAACTTACTATACATATCTTGAAAATCACGCATTTTAGCCTGTACTACTAAGTGCTAGAATAAGTGACATGGCCTATAAATGTTTTGAGTGAGCAAAGAAGGAGGGGATCAGAATAGAGTGGATTGCTTTGAGAAAAGATTGAGAAGATGGAACCTGCATTAAACCTTAAAGGATAGATAGATTTGGTAGTAAAAGAAGAGCGATGTCATTTTTGAGGATTGTGGGTGGAGTCACAAGAGTGAAGCATATGTAATTTGGTTTACTTAGCAAAGGTTGATTGAGTACCTATCATGTGCTGTACATTTGGCTGAGTTTGGGGACTCAGATGAATGGTCACTGCTCTGACTTATACACAGTATACTGGGAAAGAGGCCCATATAAAGAATAACCAGAGTACAATATAGTAGAGTGGTAGAGAGATACAGAGGTGGTGGTGGGAGTGAAGAAGAGCTGTACCTAACCCAGCCTAGGAGTCAAGAAAGGGAGGAGAAGGTGAGATCAGGGTGACTGAGGTGGAAGGTTGCTGTGTAAGAAAGGAGATTAATTAGGGGAAACCCAATTGGGGTAGAAGCTAAGGATTTGAAACTTTATGATGTAGGAAATGCAAAGCCCTTTGCAAAAGTCTTAGCAAGTATTTTGGGGATCTTAGTGAGTTGGTGGTATGCAGAATGGATTGGCAGATTAAGAGATTAGAAGCAAGGAGAACATTTGGGAGGCTTTTTGCAGTAGAACAGGCTAAATATGAGAAAGCCCTGAATTAGAATTGTGGAGGCTGACATGGAAGAGCAGGGGAAAAAATCATCAAGAATAGGTAGAGTTCCTGCCTGACTTCTCATGGGAAATGAAAAAGGGTCATACATTTATTCTGAACTTTGGTATCTGGAAGAATGGTGATGCTGTTAAAGAAATAGGGATGAGAGGAGGGTGAATATATTTAACATGGTGCTCAGAGACTCGCAGAGCCTCTGCATTCAAACATAACTGCTCCCGATTTTAATTACAGCTCCTCCACCCCCACTACCAATGATCCGAAATGGTGCCAGGGATGCTCCCCCTCCCCCCCCACCATACCGACATGGGTCGGAACCTCTGAGCCGGGGAAAGCCCCCACCTCCGCCCTCAAGGATCCCAGCCGGGCCACCCCCTCCTCCTCCACCACCTCTGAGGAATGGCCACAGGGATTCTATTACCACTGTCCGATCTTTCTTGGGTGAGTACCTAGCTGTTTTAGCCTCCTAGTTCCTGTGGTGACTTACCAACTCAGTGGCCCTTGTAGAGTGGGAATGGTCATTTGCTATCTTTTGTTCACAGCAGTTTCTCTCCCGACTTTACCTCAGACTTCTAGGCCCTATCCATTGACATCCCTTTCCTTGTGCAAATTGGAGGCATGGTTGCTTTGGAATAGGCTGAAGTAAAATCAGCAGGTGTCAAGCCTCCCCTAAAGCCACTCTCTTGCTCCCCAAAGATCATTAGTTGTGGTTACCTTTTAAGTCAGAGACTTCATCCTCTTCGGGATTATTCAGACAAGAACTCTGTGTATCATCTTCCTATGAAGGAGACCTCCATTCTGGCCCTTTAAAAATAAAACACTACTCTGTGTACACAACATTTATCTAGTAATCCAAAGCCACTAACTAGCTGTGTTATTTTGAGGAAGTCCCTTTACTTCTCTGGACCTCACTTCTCTTACCTGTGAAATGAGGAGGTTGACTAGTTCAGGAGTATGTCATATTTACTTGACCAAGGTTATCAATGAATCTTAGGCTCCACCTAAGAGATTTTAATTCATTAGGTCTGGGATGGAGCCCCAAGCAAAGGTTGTCCAGAGGATATCATTAGACCCTCTGTTGAGGACTCCTGGAAAGACCTGTACAATCCTTTCAGCTCTAACACTCTGGATTCTTTAATGGTTGGTTCTTCTTTGCCCTGGCCCTAGTCTATTCCTGTGAGGTGCACCAGGGTTTTTCCTTTGAAGATAAGTGAACGTGATCAAGCCACACCTGTAAAAACTGTGAACCTTCTTGTAGCGGGGCCATGGCACGTGGGAGTGGGGGCCATGAGATGGCTATCGCAGCTGTGTTGCAGAGCTAAGTGAGGGTAACCTGGGCCAAAAAGGGAATTATCTGGTCACAGCCCTCTAGTTGGTGACAAATACTCCCATTTTAGGTTAATTTCTACCAATCTGTGGATTCAGTTCAGTTGGTTTCCCATGGTGATAGTCTCTAAGATGATTATGTTAAAGAACTCCATATATTTTTTTCTCCTCCCATGCAGATAGCTGGGCTCCTTTCCTGTTATATGCTTGAATTTTCATGGAAAGATTTTTTAAAAACCAGTTTAAAGACTAATTTCTTAATGTAAAGAGCCTTTGACCTTTGAGCACATCCTCTGTGCATATGAGGTTCATAGAATGATGCTATGCTGGAACGTTGGTTTAGTGGGCAGGGTAGGCCGTCAAGTACATCAGAATGCACGGAGACTAGTAAGGGCAAGTTCTAGTGGTACAGAGGTGTGGGAGCACGTGGAAGGGTGATGCGAATTAATATTCTGTTCCTTTTGTAGATGATTTTGAGTCAAAGTATTCTTTCCATCCAGTAGAAGACTTTCCGGCTCCAGAAGAGTATAAACACTTTCAGAGAGTATATCCCAGCAAAACAAACCGAGGTGAGAAGAGCAGTCATGGAAGTTTTTCCATAATCACATAGAAAGCAGAATCTCTGTGCTTTTCTTCAGCTAAAATTTACTTCTCCTCACCTGCATTTTCTTTAAAAAACCTCGTGTCCCAAAATATAACAGCTTACAGGGCCTCTTTTTTTTTTTAAAGATTTTTATTGGGGAATTGGGGGGATGGGAACAGTGCTGGGGAATTGGGGGAAGGGGAACAGACAAGTTGCTGTCGTTTTGTTCTTCAGTCTAGTTGTGGAGGACGTTGCTTCACTGGCCCAAGTTGGCACCATCATTGCGCTCTTCTCGGGCAAGGCAGATCAGTCGCCGGCTTCTGGACGGCCGCTCACTGCGGCTGCTGGCCGCTCACGCTGGCTGCTGGCTACATACGATAGCCCATGGCAACCCATTGCCACAGGGGCTGCAGCCTACGCCGTTGCCCGCAACACAGGGCAGCCCAGCTCCAGGTTGAGTTGTTGTTTAGCATTTTAGCTGTGGAGGGCAGTGTCACTGGCCCTCATATGTGGGATCCGATCCGGGGCCCTCTGGCATCCCAAGCCAGTTCTTAACCATCGCGCCACTCGGCCGGCCCAGGGCCTGTCTCTTATTTCAGGATTGTTTGGGTTATTCAGGGTCTGGTGGGTGACCTTGTGTATGTGGTTTTTATTGGTATTTTTTTCAGCTGCCCGTGGAGCCCCGCCTCTGCCACCCACTGTCAGGTGAAGTCTGGCTTGGTCCTGTTCCTCAGGAAAAGGATGGACCCACTCCTCTTCTCAGATGGTCCCTTCTATTCCCCTGAAAACCTGCATGAGAGCTCCTAATGTGTTTCTCCAGTGCAACCAACCTCTAGACTCCAAGCATTCCCTCCAGCTCACCTCCATCTATGCATCTCGTCTCTGGACTTGGTGATTGGACTCTTTATATTGACAATAGGGTCTCGAACCCTGCATCCATCCCTCCTCTAGCAAGCCCTGCTAGCCAGATGAGGAAAAAGCTTCCATGTCTCCTGCTTTCCTCTTGGGGAAAGGTGCCTTGTTGTGATGAATTAACTCATTGTTGGGGCAGGGTGGAGAAAGGTACTCCTGCCTCCTCCTACCCACTGTGGGGGAAGCTTAGTGGTATATTACATTTCATCATTTAGGAGGCTGACATGACCAGGACTTTGGGGGCGGGGGAGGGGGCATTTTTAGTGAAAAGGAGAGGAGTTTGCAGAGAAGTGATCTGTTTTAAAGGTCATGTTTGAAGAAAGGGTAAGGAAATGGGTCTGCTTTATTTTTAGGGGTATTTTGGTTTTGCTCTTATCCCACCCCATACACTCACCCCAGGGATAAGTTGGATATAAACACTAAATACTAATCAGTTGAACTAAACAGCTAATAAAAAGAGAGGGTGAAATAAACTGGGGAGCCTTTTAGAGCTAGTCAGTTTCTTTGCAGAGAAGGGACCAGAAGCCATTTGAGTCCTCTGGGACTCCCTGCCCTATTTCCTCAGGGTGCTGCGGCCGAGGGATGTTTTTCCTCCCCCCACCACCCAGCCCTCAAGAGAAAAGTCATATTCATTCATTCCAGATTCACAAACCCCCAAAATTTCCAGTTGGAGGTAGGAAGATAGGACTTTGGCATTGGCCTTACCCTTGACCTTGAGTTCACCTCAGTCTTTTCTGACTGGCCCTGAAGGTCGCCAGCCCTTTCAGTCCTGTCCAGACACGTCAGTCCGATGGGTGCTTCATGATGACCAAGAAGGGAGGGGTGAAGCACCTTGTAGAAGGGACCAGCTCTGTGGGCTACAAAAGACTAAAGCCTACTCATTGCAGAGTTCACAACCCATCTGACCAAACAGACTCTTCCTGTTTTCTCCACTACCCTTGCCTTCCTGAGACTTGCAGGGGTTAGCACAGCAGAGTAGATACGGGTGAGGCAGCTTATGGGGGGTGATCAAAGATTTCTCTGTTCCAGGAAGCGCAAAGACTTTGGTGAGGTGTTCCTCAGCCCAGTTGATCTCCCTTGGCGGCCAACAATATGTTGTTTCTTCATCTTCCAGGTCCTAGTTAAAGAGCACAGAGAAAATGGAGGTTCCTGATCTAGGTAGGAACTGAACTTAAAAGATGGGACAGGGACTTCCCCTTCTCTGACAGCGGGATGGAGCTCCTGGGCTCCACACTGATGGTTAGGTTTGCTACAGCTCTTGCCAAGTACAGAGGCTACTCAAAACTTGGAGTAAGAGGAGGGAGGCCATGGCGATTCCATGAAATGGTTGGGGAAAGTCAGTTGAAACATTTCACCAGATACATCACAGGCCTAAACCACCTTAGGGACCTTTCTGATCTGTTGGATCACAGACTAAGGGCCTGTGCATGGTGCCAGGTGAAACGCCAGTCTTCCAAATGCTAGATGAGAGAGGGCTCGACGTGGGGTATTTGTATGGGTCTTCTGTGCTTTGTCATCCCCTGTACCACATTGACTCTTGGGACAAACCAGGACTAGGTCTGTCACCAAACTTTTTTTAATCATTATTTATCATTTTTCAAATCAATTAGCAGTTATCTCCCAACAGTTTCCCCAGCGTCATGAATTGAATAGAGCTAAGAGAGGGGATGCTAGTGGCGGGAAAGGGAGAGAAGAGAGTACAAGACTGGATACCGCAGCAGTTCCAGGGTAGATGCTGACCAGTTACTGAACTTGGACTGTGAAGTCTTCCCATTTGTTTTTGAAATGGGAGTTGATGCCTTTTGTACAATGTTATCAAAGTGTATTTTTTCCCCTTTACTCAAATACGGAGCATCAGAATAAGTATCACAAGTAAAAGCCAAACCCCAGCTTTTGATTGGGGCTGATATCTTCCTGCCCTGCGACCTACTGTCCCTCATTCCCCAGCATCTGGACTGTGTCACATGGGTATTGTGCTTTCATTTTCTTGGGCCTAGATCTAGTCAGATGAATTTTCTTCTTCAGAGCATGTTAGTGACACAGTACTTATTTAAATGTCTCTGCCTTATACGTTATTTGGTCCCTCTGTTAATAACAGATTTATTATCATGTATATTTACTATCGAAGAATGGGAATGTGATCCTCATAGTTATTGATCTATTTTGTATGTTGTAAAAAGCTTGTAATATAGGTTTAAGGTGGGCTGGCTGCAAGAGCACTAAAACTTCTCACCTTTTAAACTGCTCTTTTTATCTGCTTATGGGAATGCCGTCTCTTCAGTGGAAGATTGGGTGGTCTCATGTTGAGGCTGTTGCCCAGTCCCATTAAACCCCTTATCCCCTCCCAGAAGGAAGAGACATTGCCCAACTAAGCATCAGGAAGCTGTGTTAAAAGCCCTTGTGTGGGTTTGGTTTTATGATGTTTTTCTCTAGTGGGAAAAACTTAATACTATACTTGTTTCTTACTGCCCTTTCTGGGAAGCAGGGCAGTGGCCTCCAGGTTTGTAAATGAGCTAGATGCCCCTCTTCCCGCCTCTTCTCTGGTCACCAAACCTGGGTAAGAGCACTTTGATATTCCAGGTGTGGTTTTCTCTAGTGTGGGGATTTCCTCCAGCAGCAGAGCCCCATCATCTTCACAGCCTGTGCCCACAGAGCGAGAGTGCTTAGGGCTGCCCTACCCAATGGATGTGAAGCTGCTGTCTCCAGAAATTCATCCCAGCCCTCCCAACTGGCAAAAGCAAAGAGACTAGCCACTGGCCATTGCACTGGGGGCATCCCCTCACGCCACGGCTTCCCAACTTGAAACCCAGATTTACCTTCAGGGAGAGGTAAGAAAAAACTGTAAATAGACTTGCTACAGAGCAACTCAGGGTTGGGGTGTGTTTTAATTCTCCTGGTCACTTGAAATAATCTGTAGGCTGAAAGCTTATGGGGGTGGGGGACAAGTGTGACTCCAGGGTCTTCTGAGAAGCTTTTGGGGTGGAGTATAGGGCTTCTGAGGCCCTTTGATGGCACTACACTGAGCTGTCTGTCCTTCTGGAAACCCAGCCTACAATCAACTGCAAATCAAATTCTTCACATTCCAGTTGTAGTCTTTCTTTCCCTATTAAATCTCAGTCCCTGACTATGTAGTCAGGGTGGCTTTCTATAAGCCACCCTAATTTAGGGAATGGAAGGCATGACAGCTCTGCCTTCAAGACGCATCTCTTAAATACAAAATGAAAGAAAACTACAGCCACCTTCAAAACACATTAAAAAAAAAAAGGAAAACTATTTAACCGAAGGAAGGGTTTGGTTCCATTCAACTCCACGTTCATTGTGCCTTTACTTGTGTTAGATTTCCGTGCTTTCTTCCCCTCGCCCTCTTTGAAGCAATTAAAATCTTCCTTGATAACTGCTGTTTCCTTCTTTCTACTCTTGTTCCTAACATCTTATTGGGTTCCCTAATTGTCCTAAATCTCATTCCACTAGTGGCAGAGGGGCCAAACCTACTTTTCTCATGCCTAACTTTTATTTCCCATGATGACCAGCATGGAACTCATAGTCAACACTGAATAAAAGACTAGAATGACATGTTTGAAGAGTGTGAGTGTGTATGTGTGTGTCCATCTTTGTCTGCATGTGGGTCAGTTTCTTTTGAAAATAATTTATTGTATGATTTATTTTGGAGTTATTTTCTGATTACAGTGCTCCCTCTCCTAATTAGTATGGATTCCACCCACCCCACCACCACCACCACCACCACTAAAATGTATAATCTGGTCTCAGGTTGGATTCTTTGGTACATTTGTTTCTTCTGGATGCCATGCAGTTTAATTAAACCTTACTTAAAAACAAAAACAAAATACTGGAAACTGTGTACTCTTGTCTGGAATGCCACCTCATGTGATGGCATAGAGAGGGGAGAAAATCTGTTGCCTCATATGCTAGGTTGGGTAGTGGTTTGACCCCAGGTCCACTGAGAAAGTAGATACACTGACTTGGGCAGAAGTATCTGCAGCTTCCTGAGGGTTTTCTCTCCTCCCCTCTGCTGTGTTTTGAAAAATCACAGTTCTAGTTAGCCATGCTGACTGGGTGATTCTGATAGAGTTGGTCATTATTTATATGTGTTGCCTAACTTCCCTTTGCTTATGATCTCAGGGAACCCAGGACACCCTCTGGCCTTGTGTCCTTTCTTTATATCCCTGTGATTCTTTCAACCTGTGTTGCATGGCCGATTCTCACACTATGGCATGGAAGAAAAGGTGGGGGCCGAGCATGCAGGCCTCGTGTGTCTATTTTTATGTGGGTATTGGCTATTTTTCTTCACTGCTCTTTAAGTTGAAATCTTAGCTGGCTTTGTTGAACTTTGACTTTCGGTGTAAAAATTAAACCAGACATTCTCTGCTTACTAGGGTCAGCTGACATCACCACTAAGACTTAATGAGCTTACCTGACACTTTCATCACTAGCAAAGGTCTTGAAATTATTTCCCATACTGATCCATAATGCGTGTGTGTATGAATCACTCTCACATAATTTAGATATAACAACCTGAGGGGGAGGGAAGGAAGAAGGGGGGAAAGGCCTTTCACTTTCATCCGTACTTGCCAAATTGGCTGAATTCCTGATTATTTGGCCCATCGTTGTTATTAATATGATTAATAAACTACCTATTTATTGATTTAATTGTTCCTCCTGTGACTTTAAATAGCCCTCAAATGGAGCTTGCCTAAATGACCCTCAACTTCCTAACCTTATAAGCTTTCTGCATCCTATTGGAATGATATTGCTAGGGGGGGTGTGTGTGTGTGTGTGTGTGTGTGTGTGTGTGTGTGTGTGTGTGTGTGTGTGTACACTTACACAAAAGGATGCCAGACTGGTCCTTCCAGTGTGATTTGATTCCTTCCCCAATGATACTGTGTATGAATTAACAGGTGATAAGGACACTAGTTTGCCCACTGTAATTATTACTGACACCGCTGCTTATGGTGAATGTACCTCTTAAGTATTTCCTGGCCCAACCCAGCCACAAACTGTGCAACTCACTGCAAGGAAGCTGCCTGTCTCTGACGTCCTATTACTCTGCAGACAGCGATAAATGTCAACCTCAGGATCCTAACCACCCTAGAGGATAACTATGGGGAAATGCTTCGCCTCTGACATCACTGGAGCCCATTCTGGATGGTTTTTACACATAATTGAATTTACTCTCCACTCCTAGGTTTAGGGGTGTGAGATTTAAAGGACTACATGGTATCTGGCCACAAAGCAGCAGGAATGCCCTTCCCATTCATTCAGTGAGCATTTATTGCATACTTGATTCTGTGCCAGGCATCTATAATATGAAGATGAATAGGACATGGTCTTTGCCTCCAAGGAGCTCAGAGTGTAGTAGAAGACCTCAGGACAGCTATCAGGAGAAACCTATGCAGGGTATTAAAAGGCTTTATGGTAATTAGCCAGGGAAGGAGGATGGTGAGCAGCATTCCAGACAGGAAACAGCAAGGACAGAGGCACAGAAGCAAGAAACAACTTGGTGGTTACGTGCGTCACGTTAGCGGAATACTGGAAAGCTTCAAGTAGGCAATCTTAGACACCTTTCAATCCTGACATTTTGTGATTCTCTGCCTGGTTCCACAGTGGTCATTTACCCTTGTAGGCTTTTCTTGAACTAGGGCTATATTTCCTGGTGTTTTCGTAGGCTCCAGTATGCACGTTAAGTACTCAGCTTCCCCTGCTCCCTCTTTCCCACTGTAAAATGAGAGAGGTGGTTCACCACCATCCCTTAAAGCTCGCTAGGCACATGTTACCCTTTCAGGTTATTAAGGACAACTTTTAGGTGCCCAGGTTATAAAAATAAATATGAACAGTGAAGATTGCTACCTAGGTTCCATTGCCCTATTAAGACATCAGAAATACCATCTGGTCGAAAAGCCTCCATTCTAGGATAACACTTTTTACATTCACAGCTGCTAAGCTCTTCACTCTTACAGTTTGCAGCGCCTACAAAGCCTTCCCAAAATGTGCTCCTTCACCATCGCTTCCTATTAGAAGGCCACTTTAGAACCTACATCTGTAATCCTCCCCCTGTGTTTGAGTGGTCAAGAGTTTGATCTGTCAGACTTCCCAAGTTCAAATTCCAGCTCTTTCACTTACTAGTTGTGTAACCTTGGGCAAATTTACTCAAGCCCCCTCATTTGTAAAATGGAAATAATACTCACTTCATGAGGTGCTTGTGAGAATTAATGTGATATAGGCAAAACACTTGGGCTCAGTCCCTGGCATATGCTTAAACACTCAGTATTGGCTCTTATCTCCTATATGAACTAGCTATAATTAACTGACGATTGTAATAATGTTTTCCTATTTCTGGGATTTATTGCTCTATTTTATATGATACTGAAGGATGAAAGATAAATGCTTACCATCACCTAGAATTGGGTTTTGGCCTTGAACAGAACCTGAGGCTTAGCTAGGTTATTAGCTTTGGAAGCTGGCCTGTAAATTACTACTATAATTTATTTTTTTCATTAAAAGCTCAGCTTGCTGCTTCTTCTGTGGCAGTCTTCTCTGGTCCTGAAACCCTAGTGTTTAGCCATTAAAAAAAGATTTTAAAATTAAGGGGCCATAATTCTCTTCACTCCCCACTAAGTGGGGATTAATGGGATTAATGATAAGAAGGTGCACAGAATTCTTAACCTTTAACCAAACAAAAGCAAAGGCCTGGCCCTATTTCTCATCTTTGAAATACAAATCAGGGCAATACTGTGATAAAATGTGGTGGTATATTTATGTATGTGTAGAACTTGACCAAAAAAAACATTGCTTTGGGTGTCAGGAAGTATGGGTCCTAGGCCCTTCCACAAGATGCTATGACCTCTAATTAACCCTCTGCACATTTGCTTTGTGCTTTGCAGGGTTATGCATTAGAGAGTTAAGTAAAGCGCCTCTCACGCATCATGCCTGGCACCCAGAACCGCCCCCAAATGCCAAATGGTAGGTATTATATAGTAGCGCTCTAAAAATCTAGCTCATTAGGATAATGAAAATAGGTAAGTGCAGCAACGAGAAGGGGCAACCGTATCTTTATACCTAACCACCAAAAAAAGGGCGTAGAAATAGAGAGCCGCCTGCGACAAAGACTACATCTCCCGCCGGGCTTTGCGGCGTGGCCGGGCCACTTTACCCAGAATCGCTCCCTTTGCAACCTCGCGTCTTTACGCGGAAGTCCCGGATATAGTTGCGCTCTCAGCTCAGTGGGTGTGGCCTCACGGGAGCGCTGAGACCTGGGGCTCTCTTATTGGTTGTGGGTCTTACGGCTGGATTGGACGCGAAGAGGACGGGCGTTTGCCGAGGCGCGCGGCGCTCGCGACAGCCAATCAGAACCCTGGCCGGGCTTTGGCGGGAGGCCGGAAAGCTGTGGCTGTGCAGATTTGGCGCGAGAGTGGCTGGGCTTTTCTGCTGCTGGTTTGTTCAGGAGCTTGTGAAGAATTCTTGAAGCCGTGTGCTAGAGACGTGAGAAGGAGCTGGCACTGAGGTGACGTAGCCCTGTGGGGTGGAGAGGAGAAGATTGCTCGGGAGGCCTGGGGTCTGGTAGGCAGCGGACTTGGGTGGCAAGGCCCGCGGGTTCCGATGAGGCCCGAGGTGAAGTGAGAGGAGGAGAGCTCAGATTGCGGCAGCTCAGGTCTGGGTAAGGGAAGACAGATGTGCGCCTTCGAAGTAGTTTGGCAGTTGTGCGTGGGGAGTTAAATGTTGTAGAAGGGACATGTTCTGGGGTTGGGTTAAGAGTTGTGTAGAGTAGGGACTGAGTGCAGAGTGAGGCCTCAGGGAAAACTAAATACGGAAGGCTGCTGGGCGAAGCTGGTGATAAAGATAGACCCCGTGCCTGGGATGAGGGGATTAGAAATATAGAAATCACTCAAGATAAACTTAATGCATTGTCCAAGTGGGTAAGAACTTGGGCCGTGAAGCCAGAATACCGGGTTTGCTGTGATTTTGGACCTCTGTTCCTCTCAATTTTCTCATCTTCAAGATTATTTAAATAATAGTACCTACCTCTATGGTAGTGTAAACTTAGATGAGTCAGTACCTAACATATTTATAACAGCTTCTTACCCATAATAGGTAGACAGGTGTTCACTATTGTATAGATTTGGGTGGGAAGCAGAACTGGATGCTAAAATATTGTTATAACATAATTTACTAACGACATGAGTGTTGATGATCTTTATAAATTAGTTATTTTTCCTTCAGTTTTACATACTGATTGGTTGTCTGTTCTCTTTTTTTGTGTGTGCCCAGCTGTGTTGCCATCATGCCTCAAACCCGATCCCAGTCACAGACTGCAATCAGTTTTCCAAAAAAGAAGCTGTCTCGGATGTTGGACAAAGCTAAAAACTCTAGTGACACCAAACTAGAACTGACAAATGTCCAGGCCATACCCCGTTCTCCTTGTGCAGTTCTGCCTCTTAGCCCTAGAAAACGTCTAGGTAAGCTATCCATTGTATAAGTACTTTTTGATTGGTAGCTCTTGACCACTCCTTCAATAATAAGATGCCTAATCCTTTGAAGCACCTTTCTAAGTTCCGTTAAGACCTCTCTATTCATTTTGGTTATTTTCAGAATGGTTGCTAAATTCTTCCTGAACTTCAGAGTTAAGATCACTTTCTAAAGTATTTAATAGGTCTGCTCTTCAATTCCTTAATACTAAACAATTCTGTTGGTATTTTCAATGACCTTGCAGTTAGCTATACTGTGTAGTATTTTGAAACTTGCTTCAAAAGTGGTGAAATTAAGAGACACAGGTGATGTTCTTGTTTTAGAACAGTTGTTGGTAATCCTTTCTTGTTTTAGATAATTTCTTTTATTGAGGGGTGATTGGGCAGTATCTGAAGACACTTTTTTTTGGTTGTCACAACTGAGGAAGTGCTAGTGGCATAGTGGATAAAGACCAGGGATGCTGCTAAACGTTCTGCAATGAACAGGATACCCCCCCACACACACACCCTCACACATAATGAAGAATTATTTGGTCCAAGATATCAGTGGTACCAAGGTTGAGAAACCCTGTTTTAGAACCATCTTAGGATTTGATCCCACTAAAACCCATTTGGTTTCTACCAAACAGTAGTAAGATTCAGTGATGCCATCTGGTGGCCAGTATTTGCTTCTAAAATGAGAAGCATTTTATTTTGGTGGCTTTGACTATCAAAGAAATTCACCTCTTTCTGGGGGAGGCAGAGATCTTTGCAAGTCCTTTTACTGTTCACTACTGTGAATGACCATGTTTTGATTTTAATATTTCAGGTGATGACAACCTGTGCAACACTCCTCATTTACCACCCTGTTCTCCACCAAAGCAGGGCAAGAAAGAGAATGGTCCCCCTCACTCACATACACCTAAGGGGCGTAAATTGGTATTTGACAATCAGTTGACAGTTAAGTCTCCTAGCAAAAGAGAACAAGCCAGAGTTCACCAAGACAAAATATGTTCCTCAGTTCAAAAAGGTCAAGAGATCACAGCAAATTCTGAGCAGAAATGTCCCCTGGAGAAAGAATCTGCACGTGTGAGACTCTTCAAACAAGAAGGTTCGTTCTTACATTGCAGCTGTTAGTGCAGCCTCGTAAACAAGGCTGGTGACTCCAAATGAAACCCATTGGGTCTTCTCAGTCACCTCTGTTGTGTCTAACTGTCCTTTCATATCTGGCACAGGCACTTGTTATCAGCAAGCAAAGCTGGTCCTGAATACAGCTGTCCCAGATCGGCTGCCTGCCAGGGAAAAGGAGATGGATATCATCAGGAATTTCCTGAGGGAGCACATCTGTGGGAAAAAAGCTGGAAGCCTTTATCTTTCTGGTGCTCCTGGAACTGGAAAAACTGCCTGCTTAAGCCGAATTCTGCAAGACCTCAAGGTACGTTCAGAGTATAAATTATGCTCTTGCTAAAATGACACTTGGTTATTGAGGGTTAAGAAAAAGTAAAAGTCTTAGAGGGTTGAAGTTTTCCCCAAAATAAGACGTTTTTAGTTTCATTGTCTAAATCTTTCCAAATGAAAGTAGAGCTTATTCTCTTGAACGCTGTTAACTCCTCAAAGACACCTTGGGTTCCATCAAATCTTAATCTGAGGCCAGAATAACTCCCGTGTTTGCATTTTCCTAGAAAAAACTGAAAGGCTTTAAAACTATCATGCTGAATTGCATGTCCTTGAGGAGTGCCCAGGCTGTATTCCCAGCTATTGCTCAGGAGATTTTTCAGGAAGGAGTATCCAGGCCAGCTGGGAAGGACATGATGAGGAAACTGGAAAATCATTTGACTGCACAGAAGGGCCCCATGATGTAAGTATTGCTCTGCTGAAAGTGGCTCTGAAAATCTGCAAGCTGTGTTACCCCCACACTCCCATTCTTGAATTTATCAGTTTGCTTATAAAAAGAACATTTCCTATATTTCCTCTATGAGAGGTAGTTTCATAGCTTAAAGGGAAAAAAGAAAGGAAAAATACACCTTCTAATTTTAAATTGGGAAAATGTTTTTAAACGAATTGCTTGAAAAACCTCTCTTATTTTCATGATGGTGGAGTAGGTGGTATGATTGTAACAGTGACTGGCGAAAGGACAAATTATGATCTTTAAACTGATCTCAGCTGTAGGAATGTGACCTAGAGTCAGCCCAGCTCAGACAAATTGGAGAGTTAAGAAGGTGAACATGGATACTAATTGTTTCTCTTGATATATAGTGTGTTGGTGTTGGACGAGGTGGATCAGCTGGACAGCAAAGGGCAGGATGTATTGTACACGCTGTTTGAATGGCCGTGGTTAAGCAATTCTCGATTGGTGCTGATTGGTTAGTGCTCAATTGTTCATGTTACATGGTGGTTGTAAAGAATTCTTTTTCTAACCTCTTCAGCTTATTTATCACCTATTATTTTAAGCTAGCTTTCTGCTTTCTTATCAAAATGAGTTACCATAAAAATAATAGTATTTTTCATCTAAGGCATATCTATTTTGTTAAGTCTGAACAGAAATGACATAATAGTGCATTTCAGAGACCATTGATTTTTGGAGTATCTGGTCCTGCTTATCGGTGAACAATTCTAAACCTAAATTCAAAAGAGTATTCTGTGATGACTATATACTTAATGAGTGTTGGGAGGGGTGGGAGTGGGAAGCAACAATTGGAATGCTGGATTATAACTGGGAATTTTAGTCAACTTTCAGAGGGTTTATGTTTCCTTTTAGGATGATTTGACCAGTGATGATTAGTGTTATTTATCTCCTCTTCAGGCATTGCTAATACCCTGGATCTCACAGACAGAATTCTGCCGAGGCTTCAAGCTAGAGAAAAATGTAAACCATGCCTGTTGAATTTCCCACCTTATACCAAAAATCAAATAGCCACTATCTTGCAGGATCGACTTAGTCAGGTGAGTGTCAACCACTATACCAAATTGTGTGTTCCTTGGATCACCTGTGTTGGGAAAACCTAACAATAGTTCTAAAATGTTTAGCTTTGATTGCATTGCTAAGCATGGAGTACCTATGGGCCATAATGAGCACATTTTTATATGAATTTTCACCCATGGCTCCATTTATTAGATGCTTCAGTGTTGAAATAAAAATAAGAGCGGAATCACTCAAATGCTTCTTTGATGGCTTTTAAAAATAGTGCCTATGAGGGCCGGCCGAGTGGCACGATGGTTAAGAACTGGCTTGGGACACCAGAGGGCCCCGGTTCGGATCCCACATATCAGGGCCAGTGACACTGCCCTCTACAGCTAAGATGCTGAACAACAGCTCAACCTGAAGCTGGGCTGCTGTGAGTCGCTGGTGACGGCGTAGGCTGCAGCCCCTGTGGCAGTGAGTTGCCATGGGCTACTGTGTGTAGCCAGCAGCCAGCGTGAGCGGCCAGCAGCCGCCGTGAGCAGCCATCCAGAAGCCAGCGACTGATCTGCCTCGCCCGGGAAGAGCGCAATGATGATGCCAACTTGGGCCAGTGAAGCAACGTCCTCCACAACTAGACTGAAGACCAAACTGACGGCAACTTGTCTGTTCCCCTTCCCCAATTCCCCAATAAAAATCTTTAAAAAATAAATAAATAAAAATAGGGCCTATGAAAAAAACTTTCTCTTTTGAAAAGCACCAAAGAAAGTTAAGTTCTGATTGCTTTTTTTCCATTCATGAACCTTTACTACATTTCTAGGAAATGCTTAAATGTGTGAAATCTCCATTTACTTATGAACAGAAAAGGCATCTTAGACCCTAAAGGGTGACCAATCAAGTTTAGACTTAAGTGTGAAAATATTTATGTCTGGGATCTAAATCATAAAGAGTGGGAATCTTATAGTTCAAACTGTCACCTTCTGTGTCTTGTCCAAAGGCATCGAGAGATCAGGTTCTGGATAACGCTGCAATTCAGTTCTGCGCCCGAAAAGTATCTGCTGTTTCGGGAGACGTTCGCAAAGCACTAGATGTTTGCAGGTGAGTTATGGCACTGTTGGCTGCTTTTATTAAAAAAAAAAGAAATGCTGTTAATTGTCTCATGTAACTCAAGTGAATGTGGCTTAAGAGGCTCCATTCTGCCACTTTTTATGCTCAGAAAAGAGGACTTGTTTCTCAGTGGGGAGCTCTGCATTTCGACCGTGTTAATGTCTGAAACATTATCAGTCCATTACCTACAGAGGGAGGAACAAATGAGATGTTGCTGGCACTCCCTGTGGTGATTATAGATTGGTTAATTACATTTGTATTAAAAAAGACTCCAGTTTACTTTTCCATTAGCTGGTCTCAAGCAGGTTTATTTATGGACCTGAACCATCTTCGCCTTTAGACATTTTTTTCCTTCTTTTGCTTTTGTGAGCACCCCTTCCTCCAGTTGGTGGTCCCCACAGTTGTAACTCCAGACCTCTCCCCATCCCCCTGCCCCTCCTGCTGGGGAAAGCCTCTGTGCTGACTGATGAAATTTCTTCCTTCCCAGTAGGAACACTGGGTCCATTAAAATGATACTTACTGTGTTGCCCCGCTGGTCCAACCTCCCCCTACTGCCATGCAGAAGATCCAGGTCTGGCTTATGGCTTCCTGTGGGCAAAGTAGTTTGGAGAGAGCAGTGGGAGAGTAAGCTCTTCCTGTTGCTAGATGTCATGATCCTGGATTTGAAAGTTTCCCCTAGTCAGCAAACTACTTGGGTAGACTTGCCCTATGAGCAATAGTCATGTAGTATGGTGTGGTTTAGCCTACACATGCCATGTATATACAAGTGAGGACTCTCGTTTTAGGTCCAGTGTGGATGGGTGATACTGGCTCTCTTTAGACAGTTGCCCACACTACGTATTCTCTCCTACCCATGACATTTTCTCCTCCAAAATGTTATTATTGGCTCAATGTATGATGACCTACTTGGCATCTATAAGAGGAAAACATGTAGTGTTGAAGTTTCTCAGATTCCCTGGTCTATGAATTATTTCAAGGCAGCTAAGCCTCCTCTAGCAGAGACATAACCCGGGTTTGTTTGGGGGCTTTAAAATTATAAAACATGTTGTTTTTTGTTAATGTGTCTGTTTCTGAGCTTAGTGGTTTGGTTTGGCTCAGCCTAAATTAATTTCAGAAATTTTTTTTTACAGGAGAGCTATTGAAATTGTAGAGTCAGATGTCAAAAGCCAGACTATCCTCAAACCACTGTCTCAATGTAAGTAGTTTATCTCTTTCCCGTCTTCCTTTATAATTGGAAGCTCAATTTTTCTGAGGAAAGAGCTAGAAAGATGTAATGAACACAGTTAAATCCACACACCCATTTTTGTGTCTGTCTGTCTTTTTTGATCTATTTCATCTGCTTATTTCAATCTTGCCTACCAGTACTATAGTCCGTGCATTACTGGAAATGAGTTCTTCAGGGTGTTATATAAATGGCTGGGACGGAGTAAGTTTTCTTTCCAAGCTCTAGGAATGAAAACTAGACAGTAAGGTTGGATCAGCTTCTCTGGGTGCTTGTGTTGTGTGCAGTTCAGGTCTCAATATAGATGAAAGGAAAGCCTGGTAAATAAGACAGACAGTGAAAGAATGGAGTTCAACTTGGGATATCTCAAACCTTTAAACAAGTCTAGGAGGGTAGAAGTATAAAAGACAAAATATTAAAAGACAATATTTTATAATAGCCTACCGTAAACTGCAGGCTGTTTTAAATTAAAATGGTAAAATTAATTTTTCTTTCTCTCAGCCTTGTTCTCTTAGCTATGGCAAAATATAAAATGACCATGAACTACACATCTCGTCAGTGTTCAATATCCAGTGTTAATCTTTAGAAACAGGACAGTCTGATTTGATTGTTGCTTCCTTCACTCCTGCACTGGTTGAAAGTTATTAAAATTGTTTCTAGCATTACAGTTCCACAGAAAACACTTTCTATTTTTCATCACCTTGTTCCTTTCAACTTGATTCTGCTACTTGATCAGGGATCTTCAGTTTCTCCACTACTATTAGTCCTCTGCAGCATCCCGTTTGTAGTCACCAAATAGAAGCAAATTGTTGCAGGGCAACTGCACATGGTCTCAGGAAGTAACTTTCAGCAGAGGTCGTTACAGAGCAAATCTCTCCTCTGTCTTGCAATTCCTGCACCTCCGAACAATGTGGCCATAGTTTGAGCAGCTTGTTGGCAGTTTCCCAATTTGAGGCCTCTGAGATGGTGCTATCTGCTAAGATATCCAATGACATTTTCTCAAGTGTTGCTGTACTGTAGATCAGCTTGGATGAGTGAACCAAACCTCAAAGGTCATTTGTGGAGGCTATCTAAAGGACATACACAGGATTGACCTTACCATCCACATTGCGACGCATTTGATTCAGAATATTAGGTTGTTTTCCCAGCTTTTTCCTTAAGTATCAGGCATATCGTCTTTGCTTCAAGATTCTGTTCTTCTGTACTTTTGAGATATTAGGAACTTCCAAGGTAAAATGCAGTAGTTCTCTGTCTGGCTCTCATTCTTTCATGAGGTGGATTATTGTCTTTCTGAGATTAAATTGTGTTCTACAGGACAAAATAGCTCACCATTCGGCCCAGAAAAAGGATACCCTACTTTCCAAGTCATCCCACATTATTTTGGCCTCTTTCAGAGGATAGTATTGTCTCTCATTCCTTTTGCTTCTAGTTACAGAGTTGGAACCTCTGCTTTGCCACTTGAACTGCACTTTTTTTTTGAACATGACTGCACTTGAACTGTCTCCAACGAAAACTTAGTGTCATGTGTCTCAATACACAGAATTTTTAAAAACCTAATTAAGCTTGATTTATTTATTTTATAGGTAAATCCCCCTCTGAGGCACTGGTTCCGAAGCGGGTTGGTCTTATTCACATATCCCAAGTCATTTCAGAAGTTGATGGTAACAGAATGACTTTGAGCCAAGAAGGAGCACAAGATTCCTTCCCTCTGCAGCAGAAGATCTTGGTCTGCTCTTTGCTGCTCCTGACCAGGCAGCTGAAAATCAAAGAGGTCACTTTGGGGAAGGTTAGTTGGGAATCTCAGCAGATGGAGCTGGGGTGGAGATGAGAATCTGCTTTGCAGAGCAGATATTTTCCAAAAGGCCTATCATGCTCCAGCTGATATGAATTAAAAATGGATTTTTAACAGTAAGACTAAATACCGATATCATATAAAAGGCAGCTGACTTTATTTCCCTTGGGTTGTGGTTGAGAATTTACCATTTATAATCTTCTCCCCTTCATTTCTGCCTCTCCCTATGAAATATATAAAACCCCTTTCCTGCATAACAGTATAGGTTTTTGGCAATTTTCTACAGAGTGCCTGTTCAAGGATTTTATTGAAAAGAGGGAGAATTAGGGTATTGAGATAACTTTTTTGCAAACCCAGACTCTCATATTTAAAAAGATTATAAGGTCCGGTCGAGTGGCTCAGTTGGTTAAGAGCTCGCTCAAGAGTGCAAGCTCTGAGCAACAGTGGTTCGATGCCCGGCCCAAGCTGAGCTGCTGCTGAGCTGCCAGCAGGTGGCAGGATGGCTCAGCTAAAAATAAATAAATAAATGAATAAATAAATAAAATAAAAAGATTATAAGGTTACAAGAGATATGACTTATAAGCAACATTTGTTCTCCCTTCTTTCCTCCCAGTTATATGAAGCCTACAGTAATGTCTGTCGCAAACAGCAGATGGCAACCGTGGACCAGTCAGAGTGTTTGTCACTTTCAGGGCTCTTGGAAGCCAGGGGCATTTTAGAATTGAAGAAAAACAAGGAAACCCGCTTCACAAAGGTACAACTCACTGCTTCTTTGTGACATTGCTTTTAATTGTCCTGTTTTGAAGAGCTTATCTTTTGCTAAAGTAAAGAATTTTAAATGACCACAATTAGATAATTTGTTGTTTTGTTAGGTAGTTTGTTAAGATCTGTGAGGATGGGACTGTGGTATAAATGAGATTTTTTTAAAAGCAGTGTTTAACTTGCTTGCCTCTTGTGAGAAAAGTTGAATATGGTAGACATTTATGTAATAAAAACTGATTTTGAGAGTTCACTGTGAAAAGCTTTTATTCTCTTCTTTCCAGGTGTCTTTGAAGATTGAAGAAAAGGAAATAGAGCATGCTCTGAAAGACAAAGCTTTAATTGGAAATATCTTAGCTACTGGATTACCTTAAATTTTTTTATACTAATACCCCACCCGAAAGTATCCAGCTGGCATTTAGAGAGCTATAAAGTCTTCATTTTAGTACTTCATATATTCAGGTTTGAAAACAAATACGACCTTTTTTACTTGAAAGTGACAAATTTTAATCTATAGATTTAAGAATATTTGCACAGAATTTGGGTCTTATTATTTTTATGCATTAAAAATTACCAAGTAGACCCTTTTTAATGATATTTACTACCTTAATATGCTTACAAGTATATAGAGTATGTTGTGGAATGTGTATATAGTTACCTCTTTGTTTTCTCAAACATTGTTATATTTGAAAGAACTTTGGGACTAGAGTCAGAAGAACGAGAAAGGATGATCCAGGAAAATAAGCAAGTCTGCATGGAGATTTGGAGGACACTTTGTGATCAAAGAATTTATTTCATTTTGGAGTATACTGTGTTCACGTTGCAGACATTTTAAAGACTTATTGGGTTTCTTAGGCACTCCCAAGGGTGTGGGGTTGGTAAGGAGAATGTAACTCTACAGACTGTGAATATATTTATTTTCAAGTTTGATTCTTTGTGTTTTCAAGCAGCCACATTTCAAGAGAGCTCAAACTTTCAGAAGGCAATGTGAAAATTCCTCCCTAAACTGTCCCACAGTCTTAGTTGCCCTCAGATGAAGCCAGTTGTTTCAAGATGCCTTAGTTTGGGGTTGGATTTTCATCTAAATCGCATTTTTTTCTAGTTTTACTAGATCAATTAATCCATTCGGTTACTCAAGTCTCCTCTTTTCTGGGTTTAGTTTCCAGTGGCATTAAATGGCAATTTGTGATGGGGACACCAGAGGGCACCGTTATAACACTGACTGCCTTGAAAGGGAAGGCATGGGGCTGGGGTAGTTTTGAGAGAAAGGGGGAGGAACTTAAGTTTGATTCATTTGGGAGATTGCTGTACTTTTAAAACTCAGGCAAATGCTTGGAATGCAAGCCATGTGTGATATGAATGGTCTGAGGGCCAGTGTCCAAGTCTGTGCTCCCTGAGCTCTTCTGTCTCCTCCTACCTTTCTGACACACTTGAGTTTGGAAACATGATATGTGTATAAATGATCTGTTGGCCACTGTTTCATTCATGCTGCCCACTGTATCCTTGCAATGTGATCTGGGCTACAGCAGGTGGTATGGGATAGAAGAGCACACAGAGAGCCCTCTGAAATGAACACTACCCACTGGTGTGTGTAGCAGAGCATACATAGTCTGTAGACAGGAGTCTGAATGTCATTCTCACACACTCTTACAAGAGCATTCATTCCCTCTGAGGGTAATTTGTGAGTATAGAACACAGTTCTATACCTACAAGCTTGGAAAGTATCTGGGGCTAGAAGGGTTAACAAGCATAATTGCAAAGATTGTCCGAAGGCTGATGGAAAGCAGAGACTGAATGGGATTGAGAACAGATGCGAGGCTTGATTTAAATTACATTTTATTGGATGCTGCAGCCTTAAGAGACGTGACTGCTTTACAGTTTGTTTCCACACTGTGGGCAGCTGCTGTCTGTTCTGTGTCCACAGTAGGATCCTGCCCAGAAAGGAGCGGTCTCCCCACCTCGTTGTGTTTGAGGCTTGGCGCCTTCCTCTTAACTGTAGGACTTGAGTCAGGAACATGGCTTGACTCGCAGTGGGGCTGCTATGTATCCTCCGTGGCTCTGAGCCAAGATTGCATTTGCAGATTCAAAGGAGCCAAATTTCTTTCCCCTCTACCTCCTTTCTCTCCCTTTCCCCTGGTATTTGGAAATAGGGTTTTCTGTGGACTGGCTTGTTAGTTTCTTTTCCTTCAGTTCTCCCCCCACTGTCAATTTCTAGGTCATTGCTGCTCTTAAGACTTTAGCAATTGGAACAGGGTTGGTTCTGTCAGTGATGCGTGAAGCAGACTTAGAGTCCCTGCTTGGCTTCCGCTGCCCTTGTGGGAGCAAAAGCTGATGTATGTTTGTCAGTGGAGTCTTAAGTGTAATTCAGACAGCTGGGAAGCGGATAGAGAGGAGGAAGAAAGTCCTTTCCTTGCTGGCTTTTCTCACTGAGGCTGAGAGCTATGGGAAGGTAGTGGGACGGGATGGGCCTGTGGTTACTAGTTTTTGCCAGGATCATAGGCAGTTTCACATAGAGTAGTGGCAAAGATGCTGACCTACATTCTTCCTCTTGAAGGTGGTGGGGTGTGTGTCGATATCCTGGTTTACTTATTTTTCTTCAAAGGAGCAGATTAAGCTTCCACGGAGTGTTGTGGGTATTGCCACGGAAAGAACATAGACACAATAAAATTGGTGTGAGTTTCAACCCCAGAGCTGCCACTGATATTCCTGGCTCAATGAAGTCTTGCCTGTGGCTAGATAACTGGCAAGAGTGTGTGAGGTCCAAGCTACCCAGAGATCAAACAAGTTGGCAGAGCTCTCTTCCCTCTCCCACCCCCACCCCATTGCTCCCTGCCTTATTAAGTGCCTTTTAAGGTAGAACCAATAAGAATTGGGAAGTGGGAATGAGATAGACTTGGAGATTTAAAAAAATATCTATGGAGAGGTGTCGCCTTGACTACTGAAGGAGACCAAAAGACCCAAGTTTGAGATTTTATTTAATTTGTACCTGTCCCCAGCACTTAGTACAGTGTCCAGTACCTGGTAAGTATTCAATAAACAATTCTTGAATGGACAGATCAGTGAACCAAGTAAGATGCTGCGTTTCCCTCCATCCTGAGGACAGTTCTAATCTGGAGGTAAACACTGCTGGTGCTTTTGCACTGAGATGGAGCAGGCCCCTGTAAAAGGGTGCTTCATCTTACAAAATACGTCTTGGCACAGTTGTGAAGGTTTATTGGCCTCACAGATGCGTTCCAATCGCTCCCTCTGATGTAGTGGTATTTTGCTTGAGGCAACTTCCATGTTGCTCCCAGGAAGCCTTGGCTATGGGTAGAGTCCTTCCTTCCTACAGGCTGGGAAGAGGGGTGCCTGCCTGGTTGTTACCGAGTGTCCCTAGAGATTGGCCAGAAGTTCTGCCTCTAGCTGGCAAGGGATTAAGGAGGAAACTACCTTTGATGTCCCACTTTTTAACTTTTGGGGAAACTTGTAACCTCAGGTTCCTCCTGAAAAGATAAGGCATCCTGTAAGCCATTCTCTTTTAAGCTACACATAGTGGCAGGTCTCCCTCTTCTCAGGAGAGGTGCGTTCTGTAGGGGGAGAAGGCATGCCCCCTGGCCTCCCCTTGATTTTCAACCCCAGCCCCAAGGCACTGGCAATAGAAGCTAATTGGGTGCAAGGGGCCTGGGTAAAGGCTGTCTGAAGACGTGAAAAGGAGGGAGCTAGCTCCTTTTTTAAGAAGCTCTAATTGAGTTCTGAATCAGCCTCGCTCCCTTTGATCCCACCTCTTTTTCCCACACTGCCTGAAAGAGCTAGATCAGCACTTTATAACAAGGGTGCGCCTGCTCCCCACACCCGCCCCCCCCTCCTGACGCTCCGCTGCCGCCATCCACTGCTTGTCTCCTTCAGTTAAGATAATGAAGATGCTGAGAGATAAAATGTGTATTTAATAAGGGTGGGGGTGGGGAGACGGAAAGGGGCAGCCAGGGCCTTCCCTAGTTTGGGGCCTAGCCAAGACTCAAGCTGAAAGCAAAGCTAGAGTAAGACTTGGCCCCAGGGTGTGGGGGTTTCTGGGCCTCAATCCAGCTGACTTCACTGCCTGCTGTTTGCCCTAAATTCCCCCACCTCCACCCTCTCACCCCCACACTCCTTTCTTTCCTCTCTTGCTCCCAATGGGAAAAGGGAGTCTTGCTTCAACTTTATTTTCAGCTGGTAACTTGGCCTTTGGTGTGGTGCCCCCCACCCCAGAGTCAGCTGCAAGGTCGGGCTAGGGCAGGCCCCTCTAGCCTAGGCCTGTAGAAGCTGTGGGTTCACAGTGGGGGGTGAAAAAATCTGGAGTTAATGAAGACCAGCTGCTAGTCTGGGTTCTGCCTACAGTTAGCTGGAGGCCAGCCTTTGGTGGTGGTTAGAGGTACTGGGGTGCATGACCTCCATCCCTGGGCACAAGGATATCTCGTGGCAGCTGAGGCTTGTGCTCTCTGAGCTTGGTTTTACCCTTAGCTTGTGAGAGAGGAGTCTGTTTCCCTCTTCCCTACTCCCCTCCCCAAATAACACTCAGCCTTTATTGAGCTTTATAACTGTAGTGGTGGCCCAGCCGAGATCTGAGGATCTCCAAGCCCTTTTGTAAACACTCATTAACTCCCTGGGAAGAACCAAGAGCCCTGTTTAACAGCTGGGAGAGAACTGAGGCACATCCTGGTGAAAGGCTTGACCTGAGCTCACCCCATGGGCTCCACCCTGGGGCCCTCCATCCCTACTGCCTAACCCCTTTCCCCAATTTTTCCTGCAAGACAGAAAGAGTTAGAGGAACTGCTGCTGCCCTCTCCCCTTCTAGGAAGAGGCCATGCTTTCCCTTCCCTCATTTCCGTCTCTGACTTTCTCTGGCCCTTCACCCCATGACATTTCCCCAGCTCTGCTGCTGGAGATATGTGCAACTCTCCTTGCAAAATGCTCTCAATCCAGCCCTCTGTAGACTTCCCATCTACTTTTCCCTGGTACACCGGGCCCACCAAACCTGAGTTCTCCCTTTTCAGCTACTGATAAGATCAGCTATCCTAAGCTGGGTCTGTAACCTTGAACTTGATCTAATAGTTGAGGTCCTTCTGGCCCGTATATTTATCCTAACTGGTACCTGGGAAAATATTCTCAACTTATTCATTCTGGAAAAGTTGCAGGATCCTGTTAAGGGCTGGGGAGGGGCACTAGTTGACCCGGTGGATCCGCATCCTGTTCTCCCACCAACAATTGCCATTCTTGGTAATGGACGTAGCCCAAAGAACCTCACCTTCACCTGCTCATACTCTAACCTGTATGTATCTGCACACCTCAACACACTCCCAGATACACCTCAGTCTAAGGATGTAAAACTTACCATTTTCCAAATACCATCCAAGTCATACTGTCATATTTACTTGGAGGAAATCAGTTGTCCCTCCGAGCCATTTAGGGGATCGTGGGGAAGGATGGGTAGACTGCTATATCTATGAGGGGGAGGGTAGAAGTGAGGACCCGTCCAAAATGAATGTCCCCTTCCCCAAATTTTCAATAGCTGAGAAGCTGAGCAGGTGTGGTAAGGAAAGCGATCTTAACCCGATCTTCAGCCCCAAAGCCCAAATCCAGTTGCTTAGGGCAGGCAGGAAGAAATGCCTTTTTTTTCTCCTGTCCCATATTCTAACCCCAGCTGAAGTCATCCATGTGCTGTGTATTTGAGACGGGGCTGTTCCTGTCCCCAGCCCATGATTCAGACCTCCGTCTTTCTCCCAGTGAGTTCTTCCTCCCCCATCAGTCCTCAGCGCTGCACCTGCTGACCCTGTCAGAGCCGGTGGAAGAGGGCGGGAGAGCCTACTGTTTGCAGAGAGGGCTTTAGGACCCAACGGACACCCGTGCCTCTTGCAGCAGTCTAACCTAGAAGCAGGGGGAATCCTGAATCGAGCTGAGAGGGCTTCCCCGCTTCTCCTGGGAACCCCATCGCCCCCCTGCCAGCACACACCTGAGCAGGTAAGAGCACGCGCACCCCTTCCCAATTCCCCCTCGGTCGCCTTCCGCTGGGCCTCTCCTAATCTGCCGGTTTCCCTCTCGCCAGTTCAGGCTTTCCCTGTCCCTCCTCCCCCCACTGCTCACTGTAGTCCTGGGAGGTGGGAGCCTGGGAACAGTGGGGTGTCTGAACGCTCAGAGCCCCTGCACCCTCCAGCGTCCTTCCTGCACTTCCCCGGAGGCATTCCCATTCTCTAGCTAAGAATGGAAAGTGGGGGGAAGGACTGCCCAGGCCCCACGCCCTTGCACCCTCCTTTGCAGTATTGCCTAATACCCCTTCCCCCACCTCACCTCTACAGGAGAATTGGCAGTGCTGGGGTAATAGAGAGCCGAGGGAACAGGAGCGGGACTGGAGCCTCCCCGGGGAATTCCTATCTCCTGCTCTGCCTCCCAGCCCCAAGAGCGCAGGACTTTACCCCCCACTTCCTACTCACCTTGGAGGGGAACTAAGGTCCCCTTCCATGCTCATCTTACACTTGGGTGGTCAGAGGCTTTGCTGGAGGGTAGTGGAGGTTGTGAGTGGTTTTTGGTGACCTTTTCCTCTAGGGAAAGTTCTTTCAGCTTAGAGCCCCATCCCTGCCAACACCTCAACACCTATTGCAAAGACACACACACACACACACACCCGCGGGCCCCTGCACCCCTCCTCTGTGTGTGTGTGTGTGTGTGTGTGTGTGTGTGTGTGTGTGTAGACCATGTGGTTGTAAGATCTATAAGCTTTGGGTAGAGATGGCTGCGTGCACTGAAAGGTGGAGATCCCAGATATGGCCCAGGCCAGAACAGGCTCAGCCCAGATGGCTGGGGAAGGGGGTGTGGACCAGATCAGGGAGGCCGCCCAGCCGCTGCGCCAGCATCATGGGCTCCTTGGCTTTCAGAGCCTCTGGCTCCTAGTGTTACCCCGAAGCTTCTTCCCTTCTGCAGGCTCTCTGGGAGAGGACTGGACGGCATCTACTAATTAGAGTGGCTTATTTTTCTCTCCAGTATGGGGCTGACAGGTTATGCTCTCTGAAGATCTAGGGCATCTCATTCTGGTTTGGTGGGTTTGCAGGAGTGTTGTGTGACTTGTCTGAGTAACCGTGTGCGAGTTTGTACATTGTTTCTAGGTGAAGTAGAGTAGGGAAGGGAGAGGGGAAAAAAGACTGCTCACACTTGAGGGAACCCCTCTAGCTCTCTGGGTGCCACCACCCACCCAGAGAGCTAGTAGTGGACAGGTGACATGTCCCCATCTGGTAACTGTCCAGGTGCGGGGTGTGCTCCATATTCCTCCATGGCTCCCTAGCTCCCCTAGGAGTTGGTTTTGGAGGAAAGGGTGGATAATGGAGTGGCTTCAGACTTAGTTCTGCTCTTGACTCAGAAAGAAAAGGAAGAGATTTTGAGTGTGAGCAGTGGAGAGTCAGAGACCTGAATTTGAGACAGCCCAGTCATTTCACGATTGGCATTTATACAGGTCTCTAACCCTCAGTTTCTTCATTTGTAAAAATGGCTATAAGCTCACTTGTCTGATAGAGATATGGCCATAAAGACCCCATAAGACAATTTATTGTGAAGCTCAGTGCAAAAGGTAGTTATGGCTTGAAGGGGAGGGTGGTTCTAGGATGGGACTCTCTTCCTAAATCTAGGTCAGTCTCTGTGCCTTCAGTGTCCTTCCTCCATCCTTGCCTGTCTAGGAGATGGAGGAACCAGGCAGGGCTG